TTAAAAGATTTAGAATTGAAGGTGAAAGGAATCAAGGAAATGTCATGTTATATATCTTTCTTAAGCTAATATCGTAAGGTCATTAGTTGGTTCGATAGTATTATGAGGGTTTATTTGAGTTGAAAAAAAAAATGGTATTGTTCCCAAGTAAAGGTGAGATTTTTTAGTGTTTTTGAGTATTTCTAGATGTGGATGACAACCCAAGAGAATGGTATCGGAGTTAACGTTAAAGCTTTCAATGTTTTTAATTGAAAACTATAAGTTTTGGGTGTATAAAGATGAAAGCTTTGCTCAACTCTCCATGTTTGTAATCTTACAACCTAGCTTTAAGTAGCACAAAAGAGAAGAAGAGTAGAAATATTGGCACTCTTAGATTGACTCAAGGAAGTTTGGCTAATCCAATCTTCCTCAAGATCATGAGAGATAAAAAATTAAAGCAAGCATTGGAGACTTTACAAAAAGAATATGAAGATGATGTAAAAGTAAGGGCTAGCTATATCAAATTACAAAGTTTTAGAAGGGATTTGGAGATTACGAGAAATGAAGGAGAATGAGTCAGTTTTTAAATAAATTTATTGAAGTTGTAAATCAAATGAAGAGTTATGCAAGTGATACAAGTGATGAGAAACAAAGCCAAGAGAAGGGATCTACAAGTGATGAGAAACAAAGTGAAGAATCCTATAAAAAAGGAGGATATATTGCAGGTAGAAGTAGTGGAAAAGGTGGAAATCAAAGGGAGAGAGGAAGGAGTAGTTTTGACAGTAATTCTAGTTATGATAAAGGTATTGGAAGGTTTCATTCTTGTAACATACTAGGCCATATGCTAAATATTAGTGGTACAAAGGGGAGGCATAATATTTTGCTTGTAAAAGATTTGGTTACTCAGCCAAAAATGGTAAAGTGAAGAGCAATCTACTAGCAAATATTACCGAAGAGACAGAATATGATGGAAGCATGCAATTTTTATGCTTATCAAAGTGCCATTGAATATAAAAGTAGAGAATAGCTCATTAATAGCTTATTAAAATGTTAAGTTTCGCTAATTATTCATTATATTTTTCTTAATTTTTTTGCTAAACAAACATGAAATTCTCTGAAAAAATATGAAATTTTTAGATTATATAAATATTCATTATATTTGCCAAAAAATCATGTTTTTAGTTTCCAACTTCCCAAAAACTGAGTAAATTATAAATTAGTCCCTTTCATTTCAAGAAACATATTAATTAGTTCCCTTTATTTTAGAAACTAATCATTTATCTCTATCTTTTGAAATCTACTTATAATTTAGTCTTTTTTGCTCTTCTTAATTTATTTTGATTTTTTGTTTTAAGAAATAAAAAAGAAAAAAATATGAAAAGATGGATGTGAAACTAAGAGATTTTATAGAAAAAAAAAAAACAATAGTAAACTAAGCATGGTTAACACTAATTGAAGGATTAAATAATAATTTTTAAAACAAGAGAGACTAATTAATTTTTTTCTTGAAACTAGAGGGACTAATATATATTTTACTCCTCGAAAGCCAAATTCTATGCTTTTTTTTTATTTTTTCAAAAATGCCTCAAAATCATCGAAATAATATCAGCAATTATTTTAGAGTCTCAAAACCCAGTTTAATGCACACAAAAATTCAAATTAAAATAAAAAAATTAAAATATTTTGGATTCCGATCTACTTCTTCGTACTATTTCATGGCTTGTAATCACCACCAACGGATTCTATTCTTCAATAGAACAAATTGATGGTAATTTTAACAATTGAGGTGACCAAAATGACCTTTACACACACACTCTCTCTCTCTCTCTCTCTCTCTATATATATATATATATATAATCCCTCCATGTTCAAATTTTGTACAAAAGAAAAAAACCAAACAATTTTATAGGTAAGGAAGATTCTCTAAAGAGACAAAATAGAGAAATTTTTTTAATGATAATATTCCGAACGCTTCCTTCTAAAGATACAGACAGGTTGATCTTTAATCAAATATAAATAATTATCACTAGCAACTTTAAAAAAAAAAATTGAAGCAGATCTTAATACGGTATGTAATAAATTTGGTTGGTTAAATAAAAAGCTAAAATGTTCTAACCACTCCCGAAGTTTAAGTTATTTGAACTTGAATTTTTGAATTCTTTTATTGGTTTTAAAGATTTTAAAATTTTTAATTTTTTTTTCAGATTTAGCCCTTCAATTTTCTATCATTTATCTCAAACAATAACAATTACATAAATAGTTTCATGATGAAAACCATTTATTGAGATTTATGTGAGACTCCTCAAAAAATTTGAGATATGTAATTTCGGATTCATATTTCATTTTTTTCGATTTTCAATATTTTAAATATTTTAAAAATAAAAAAATATATAGTTTTCGAATTTAAAAAATTCTGAAAATTTTCTCAAAAATGGAACGGAATTTTTTTCAACATGTTTGAAATTTTTCAGCTCAAAATACCAATAATTGAACTTTTTAGATGAAAAGATGATAGCTGAAAATCATTAAATAGATTAAATCTCAAAAAATTAAAAGTTTAAGGATTTGATCTCGAATAACTTAAAACTAAGAGATGGTTAGACCCTTTTAGCCTGAATAAAATAAACAATTTAGTGAAGCATAGAGAAAAGGCTAGCTAGGGAGCAAGTTATACGTTTGGAATATAAAAGAGACGGAGCAAGACTGTGAAATGAACACAAATTGTTTTAGTCAAGGAAATCAAACAACCAAATGTTTATTTTTTTAATTTTATGCTTTAGTTTTGCTTTCACTTTATGTCTTTAGATTTCGTTTATCGTTTTCCTGTACTTTATTATCAAAAAACCTTTTTACGTTTTGTATAGATTTTTCTATGTAAAAACCTTATTATAATTTATATATATATATACATAAAGTGATTTATATATCAACTGCTATCATAAATTAAATGTGCCAAGAAAGAAAATTAGTAAATAAAAAAAATGATGTTAATTCATCAATCGAGATAAATGATATCGACAAATCCTTATCGATTCGCTTTTTAATTTGATGTTAATAATGTGGCAACAAAATTTCACTTGTCTTGATTTGTGAAATAAGAGGAGTACAAATATTGAAGGGAAGAGATCCAATTATGCATAAGGAAGATTATTTTACATATTGACGTTATATTGAAAATCCATTTACTTCATATATGCTTAATTTTCTGAAACTGAACTTTATTGAAAAATGGTTAGAATGTGAAGAATATTGAACATTTGGCATAATCTTAGGCCATTTTTCTCTCCAATAATTTGGTCAACGAGGAGAAAATGGAAGGAAGGAAAAACTAATGAAACCAAGCAAAAATCAAGTAGAATCAAGGTGAACCACTAAAACACCAAATTAACAAGAATCAAAGCACAGAAACATCATAAGATTGCTTAAGTGGCCGAAATAAGAGAAGAGGAAGAACTTGGGTGTTGGCCAAAACTTTTTAGGAGGAAAAAAGAGGAGTTTTTTTTACAAGATTTCAAGGTAGAATTAAAGCTCACATCAATCAAGATAAGTATAGTCCCAACTACATCATAAGATTTTTTATTGTTATGATGTTAAATGATTGTTACAAGTGTTGTTGTTTGATGTTCAACTAATTTGGTAAATTAGGGTTAATGATCTTCTTGCTTAAGTAATGGTTTAATTGATGTGACATAATCTTTAAGTGACAAATTAATATATTTTGTGGCTAATTAAAGTTTAATTGAGAATTAAATGTTGGTGGTTTTGTTTTATGTGATTCATCTAAGAACCAATTTAGGGTTAATTGAGTTAGTTTCATGTAATTGTGATAATTTAGCATTTATAATGTTGTATGGACTTGAACACGTGTTTAATTCAGAATTTATCCTTGATTGTGTTGGTTAGATGTTTTGGCCGAATGCAAGTTTAGGGAAGATTGACTTACTTTCATGTAATTATGATGAATTCTTATTTATAGTGTTGTGTATACATGAATGAAAATACTTAATTATTTGATTTGGCCATGATATATGTAATTTGGTTAGTTGAGTATAGGCATGCCAAGTGAGATGGTTCGGCCATGGATGATTTGGTGTGTTAATTGATGAATTTTAGGGTACATGACTAATGTAGTACTTACCGAAAAGGGTATAAATTTCAAGTCTTGGAGATCGCGGCAAAGCTCGAAGGTTTTTCCCCCTAAAGCTGAAAGTTTTCTGGAAGGAAAAGAACTACAAAACTAACATAATATACAATTACAAAAAGAAATCAGTTCAAGATATTTAACCAAAAAAAAAAAATCCCTTCGATATATTGAAGCAATGCTTACCGAAAAGGTCTAAATCGGAAGTTTTTTTGGATCCACTGGAGAAGCACAAAGGTTTCCTTTTTTTTTTTTTTTTTTTTTTTTTTTTAAGTGAAGCTCAAAAGGTTTTTTGACAAAAGAGGATCAGGAGACACAAGTACTAAATGCTTACCGAAATGGTATAAATCGGAAGTTTTTGTTGGATCAACTGGAGAAGGACAAAGGTTTCCTGGTTTAGTGTTTTTTTTTTTTTTTTTTTTTTTTTTTTTGACAAATGAGGATTGGGAGACACAATTAATGTGTTTGAAGTTCTGAAACCAAACAGGATAGTTAGAAACACGTTTATAATCAAAGATCACAAATGGTTTCTGAAGGTGCAAGTTCATCTTAATTAAAAAATAAGTAAATGTTGACGTCACAATTATGTATTTAACAATCAAGCCTTGAATGCGACAACTGGCAAGGTTAAACAAAATAGAACAACTGATCGGGAAAAAAAATAGAATAAAACGAACTAAGAGTCAGTGAAGGCATGTGTGAATGACTTGGAATTAGTAAAAAATTATAATTTCTGGAGGTTAATTCTCACTCTAATTTCACTTTTATTTGGCCTGCAGCAGACCCTCTTTCCTTGCATATACATGTCAGACAACAATTCAAAATTAACTTGGACGGATCAATCAATGGCCCAAGATTACAACACATAAACCAATGCTTTTGCGTCTAAGTTAAGGGATTGGGCTCCACCAAATGTGGTGGGAGCAGCTCAACAACGTCGCATGATTGTGTTTATCTTACTCGTGTTGGATTGATTTGAATTAACCCGCCTGCAGGAAAAACTTCTTGTAGTTATCTCTCTGTATTTTGCTCTGTTTTCCTCTGCTATGGCTCCCCAAATGATCTTGCCAATCCATCCTTTGATATTAGCAAACAGTAGAGGAGAGTTTAGAAAAATACTTTGATTTGTCCAATGGGAGCTTTAGTGTCAAAGGATTTCCTGTGATAACTGTATTATCATTACTAAAAACAAGGCTATGTTAATTCACTTAAAATAATGAAGTTAAAAAAAAAAAAAAAATCATTGCAGAATGTTAGATTCCCATCATTTTTTATGGAATAATATTCTCTAGTTTTGAAGAAATGTGATGTCCAAAAAATATTAAATTTCTCGGCATTTAACATTTTCCAGCAAAACAAACATAAATGGGCCCTTTTCTTCACAAACGTGGAGGGACTATCCGACCAACGTTGTTTAATACTGGAATTGTCTCCATTTCTTCTATAAACCCAATCCAGTACCGCTGGATTGGATTGAGAGCTTCTGTTAAAAAAAAAGCTTCCATCTCCTCAGAAAAATCACCAACGTTGCGTAATAACTCAAATTCCATCCCCTTATATCTAATTAAACAAGAGAGGATTTCTTCGACCTATCCTTTTCAATGCAAAATGTTCTTACAACTTAGGAATTATGCAGTTTGGTTTTGGAGAAAATAATCAACTTCAATTTCTTCTACTGCGATCATGGGTTGAGATTTTGAGTTCAGAACATATGTTTAGCTACATGCCAACCATATGAAATGAAGATAAAAGAAAAGCTAAAATAAAGAATGAACAATGAGCAATACACCTTCAGAATAAGCAGGCTAGACAAAATTTGTTGTATTGTCAAAATTAAATCCTTCTTTGATATGCCAGACTTGTCAAAATATAACCAGAAGTCCCACTTCTCTATTTTTTGTGCAATAAAAATCTGGAATGTAAATAATCAATGGCAATCCATCATATAAAAAAGCAAGATTTTTTTACGTGGAAAACATCCAAAACGAAGGAAAAAACCACGGGACCGTAGTCCATTCAAACTCATCCACTGTATCAATGAAATTACAAAATAAGGTCTGTTCTTGATAACTAGAGCCTGCGACATCTACAAACACATGATGGAATCAATTTCCTTGGCTCACAATACAAATATCATGACCAACATGGTGGATTACAAGAAATACCAGCTGGTGAGATCTCACCAAAGGGCCAGGTTGATCAACAACCACGATCAAGCAAGTGGAGGGGAGGATAACCATAATCAAGACCAATGAAATCAAAGGTTGCACAGTCAGAAAAAGCTTATTGAAATTACCCCTAGCACACACCAAGTCGCTCCATGAATTCTTCAAATTGAAATAAACCCCAATCTCTGTCTTGGCAATCTCAGTCTCTACCTTCAATCAGGTGATTTAGATTTGCTTTAACCAAATTTTGATATCCTCAGAAAAAATCAAACTCCGACACCTCTGACACAGTGACTTTCCAAAGTAGAAAGTGCAACCTTATAATGACAAGAAAAAATATTATCATTTATCAATTCCAATCATGGAGATTTTAGATAAAACAAATCAATTATTTCTTCAACTAGTAAAGATCCATCATTAATACCATATCATATACCATGGACTTCTGCACTTAACTGGCGATGATGATATGTCTCTATTGTCACCCTATCCCATAACAATATGGAACCTGCAATAACAGGAAAAACTCGTTTAAAATTTCGGAATTCTAATTTGTCAAGCATATTTCACTTTATTGTCTCCAACTAAGGAAAGATTATGCAGGGGAATGGAATTATCCTAAGGGAAAAAATATTCATACTTCAAATCCTGCTTTAGTTCCATAATCTCATTAGACTTCTGCTCTACTTTTGGTTTCTGCAGTCAACATCCCATATATGATTAATATTATACTCACCATCAGCTGAGGGGTACGGTTTCTCTTACAGCATGTGGTGTTTCTGCTGGCAGATCACGATGCATCACCTTCAGTAGAAGGGAAGGGAGGGTTGACAAGCCCATCCATCTACAATACCAAGGTTGAAGAGGGTCAGCTGCATTTTCTGCTACAAAGAGGGGATCTTTTCCTCCTTCCCTTGAATGCACTTTTGGAAACTACCACTACATACACCACCGGGTTAGCAAATTGAATCCCCAGCTCTGCTGCAATTTCTCAAGAAGCAGCAGCAAGACCTGAACACCAATGAGTAGAGAAAGAGATTACCATCAACAATATGATTTTATTTCACTTCCCAAACCTAAAAAGGTATCACAGCTGATGATGAAAACCAAGGTCAGCTTACAAAGGGAAAAATAATCATTCCTGAATCTTCCACTCCAAGAAGACGATCTGCTCCTTCTCTTTCCTTGAATGCCATGTCAGAAGCCCATAAAAAAACAGTTTTTGCAACGTTCCAATTGGTTAATGGAATCCTCAGCTTAGCAGCAATCTTTGAGACAGAGATAGCAATGAGTAGAGAATCATACTACTATCAGAATTTCTGTATGCTTGCAAAAAGGCTTACAAAATATCAAATGCAATTACAGCTAGCATTCTGAATTGCCTTCTCAGAATATCCTGGAGGACCTGGAAAAATGAAACAGAAGCTAAGAGAAGGAAAAAAGAATACTAGATGAAGCATTATTATATTTAAAAACAGTGCTTGGACGATCAACTTAAATCATATAAAAAAATTCATCGAGAACTGTTGATGCATCTTGCACTCACGGTACATTGATTTCGCATATGAAGACCCCCCACCACTACTCCTTGTTAGGTTCCGTAAAATATCATTTTATCAGAAATTACTTCATTAGTATTCATATTATTATGCTGTCAAGGACTGATTATATTGAGGTATAAAATAAAATTGGAAAGACTTTTATAGTTGATTGAAGGAAGTTTCTAGTTGAATATTTACCTCATAGAGTACTATTATCTTAAAGGACAATCTTCGACCGTTTGCTCCCCCTAGTAGCTCCAAACTGAATAGTGCAACCTTATTGAAAGGATGGACTACCACTGTTATTATCAATGGAATTTGTGGAGTTCAATAACTGCTAGAGCTAATCCACATCTTCAAATGTATGAGGCCCATAAAGAGCACACCTGTGAAAGCTGAAGCATTTCCTTAGAATGTCAGAGCTATGCACAAATTGAAGGCGAATCAGAATTTACTGGAGTGACTGTCGCATGTTTCTCGATCAAATGGAAATTTACTCGAGTGATTGTCACATGTTTCTCGATCAAAGGGCTGCAGCCTGCTTCTAAAGCTTCAAATCAGGAACAAAATCACTGCCGATCGGTTACAGAGGAGGATGATATTGAAAGAGCAGAGGTATCAGCAGGTGCTTTATCCTCTGACAAACAATCTACTATGCTTCTTGAAGTGTATTGGAGTATTGTGTTCTTTGTGTCGAACAACTCTTGTTTGGTTGACCAAACTAGGAAGTACGTTTCTCCTGAGAATTTAGTAACAGTAAATTAAATGCAAAATCCGCATAATTATGCAGAGAATGGACTTTAATAGAAAGAGGCAAATACCTGGCAGAAAACTTTATATGAGAGGAAATTTTTAGGAAAAGGATGAAGAAGGGAGAAAAGCATTGGTGTGTAGAGATGAACTTGTTTGCATGGAGGATTCGGCTGTTACAGGTTTTAACATGGGGGCTGTAGAAACACGGAGTCCTTGTCTTAGCTGTGCTGGAACTTCATCCATCATCTCTGTTACAAAATACAAGAAGAGCTCTTCTTAGTCAATTCATAGCTAAGTTTTCTTTCATAAAAACTTCACATTGGACTCAAATAAGAGATTATTTTCTTGAGAAATCAACTGTGTACAAAATTTTGCAGAAAATCTGTCCCTTGGAATTTTTTTCAGCCTAATCTACAACTTAACTAGATGGAAAAGTACTCAAGAAACATCAACTTTCAATCCAATTTTCACTGCTGTTCCTAATGCGATTTTCAATCATCAATAGGACCTTGTCAATGATACACTAGAACAAGCAACATCAATTTGAAAAGTACTCAAGAAAAATCTCATAATTGTATGAGAGAAAGTTAGCTTGACAAAAATTCTACGGTTAAATTTAGAAAAAATTCAATTGACAAGATGAGTTCAAGTTATAAATTTAGGTGGGATACATAGAGCATGCAATTATCAACTTTTTAAGGAAAAAATCCCACTACTAATCTTCTTCTAATTCTTCATCTTCACAGTGGAAAAAGGATATATTTGATCTTAGGAGTACAAAATTCGCTGCACCTTCTATCTCAGTGCTTAAAGACTATTGAAATTAAGCCAAACAAGTATATTATCAGATAAAAGAAACGAATTGCAAATGAACATATCTTGTCTAGATTCAAGTTTCCTAAAAAATGGTGTAAATCAATCAAA